AATTATGAGCACTGTGTGTTTTTCCCTTCCTCTCTTCCCTTAATTGTTTGTCTTCTCTTTTTTTTTCTCCCTCTCTTTTTAATGCGCTAACTCTAGCCCCTCCCGTTCGTGGAATATCGCGCGTCCCGTCCGAAATTGATTCTCCCTTCGGCGCGCGAGAAGGGCATCGCGGCGGGGTAAACGAGGAATTCCCTTTAATCGACTTTAAGTGACACGACACGCTCCACCCTCGCTCTCGTATATACTCGACGAAAGAATAATTGGACGGCATCTGTCCGCGAAGTGCTCGCGCGTTCGGCGCGAGTGTCTCGCGAAATATATCGTAATCGAATGTAAGAAACGAGACGGAGGATTGCGATAGAGTCAGCGAAGGATGAAATGATCCGAGATGGCGAGCAGTAGGAACAAAGTGGCGCGCGACGGAAGGGAGAGTCGCGCACGCGGCGATGGTTAGCGAGAAAACGCTCTTCTTTCCCTTGTTCTTTCTTCTTCCTGCTTTGATCCCTTTACCGCAGAATGAGTTACACAGCCGAAAAGAATATACCGTTTCACGTTAACGCGTATCGAACTGTCTCTCTTTTCTTGTTTCGCCGACTCGGGCTTTTTCACGAGACCGAGCGAAGAAATTCGCGCCCGTCAACGAAAAGGGTGGATTGAGAGTTAAACTGATTGCGAAGACTCGCGCGATATTCATCCTCCGCGTAAACTTCTCCCCGCAACCGCCTCGTAATGTCCACAGGCACGCGAGAGACGAAACTCGATAGACGTTATTCGATTTTCCCTCTAACGTAACGGTGTACTCTAGTAATGACAACTCCGAGAAGTGCCAATTATTTCGCGAGTATCGAAGACAATAGTATTAATTTATATATATTTCGTATTACCGAGCAATTGAGCACCTTTCTTAGTAGGAAATCAATTTGCAATAATTCGATATTTATGCGAAAGGAGTGAAATCAACCGTGCACTTGCGATTCAATGCGAATTAAACCGATTCGCGTCGTTTTCCCTCTTTGCTCTCTAGTCGCAGTGTAACGCGCGTATTTCAACATTTAATACGAAACATTTTCTATGAAAACATCGAGACTCATCCACGGTGGGGGTAAGTCCTACATTATTTCGTTCAGCGTCGTTTGATGTTCTCGTGAATTTTCGACTTTTTCGTTCCAACCAATCGAAACGTATTGATACACAAACGACGTCTTTCAAAAATTAACAATTCGCTAATGTCCCGAAGTCCAGACATCTGCTCGTTGAAAACAACGGACGAAAGGAGGGACGACAGAGGGGGTTGGTGAGAGAGGAGGAAAAGGCCAAAGCGAGTCCATCGTATTGACAGAAAACGGATAAACAAAATAACTCTGTATCTCGCATGTCGAGAAACTCTCCTTCGCCTTTATTTTAACGTGACAGTTCGTTAAACAAAATAATAATAATAATATTAATAATAAAATAATAATAATATAATAATCAATGAAACTAAGTATAGGCAAAAGAAATCACATTTAAAGCGCGGGGTCGGTAGTTTATCTATCTTGTCTTACATCTGTCCCTTGTTCTCGCGTGAATTTCCCGTTTCACTCTCTACGTGCCCAAATGTAACGAAACGATATTGGATGAATGTCATTCTATTAATTTTCCCGCGTTTCTCGCGCACCAGTCGAATTATACAGTCAATATGGGACGTCTTTCCTCGTCCCGCTGTCAAAACATACGTATGAGTGTACAATGTAGCTCTCGGTGTAGTTAGTCGCGCGCGTACGCGAGTGTTTTGTCTATTTTTTTTCCCCACCTGTTCTTTTCTTTCGTCTCACCACTTTTGGGACGCCTAGAGTTGTCGAGTCACGCCATTTCGCAAAAGGAATTCGGTCAGCAAGAAAGTGATATACCTCGAACGTTCTTTCATACCTTTTATTACCCCTCGCCCCTTCTCTTATTCATTGCCTTATTATCATCTTATACAATAACAACGTAATAGTTTTAAACAACTTGAGCATAGGTGAGGCGCGGACGTGTGACTTCTACGGGGTTCGTACTCGTCGACCGAATTCACCGTGACTCCGAGCGGTTCTCCTCTCGATACGAGAACCAGAAACAAATTACAGATTATTACATCGTTTTCTCTTACTCTTTCTCCTTCCTTCCATCCCATATAAAAATCTACGTCGACAGTTACGGAAATAAAAGCAGAAAAATACGGTTAAAAGATACAAAACTCAACGATCAAGTTCTATATTCCACGTGATAAACATAACTCAATCAAGCATAATTACATAGGAACCCCGTAGGAGAACACATCTGGCGCCGTAACAACAAATTATCTACAATATTTCGCATATACTTGTTTATTTTTTCATTCCCCCCTCTCTCTTTCTCTCTCTCTCTCTCTCTGTTTTTCTCTCCCATTCTTCTTCCTTCTTTTCTTCTTTCTTTCTCTCTTTCTATCCTTTCTTTTCTCTCCCTTCTGCGCGTACGCACCGCACGCGTAACAGATTACACAAGATTACTTAGAATATTAGATAAGGTACTTAGAATATCTTCATTATTAAAGTCTATGTTTTTTATTTACCTTATACACCTACTAAATGTCGATCAAATTATTAATTAACTAATAGTATAATAATAATAATAATAATAATAATAATAATAATAATAATCTAAATAAAAATAATATAATAATAATATAATAATGACGCGCACAGAGATGATAATGACGATGATGCCGGTGAGATAATAATTATTTCTTTATTTATGCATTTGTATATATATATATGTATATGCATATATTCATGTGTTTATTAATATATAACATTAATATTTAACGTTATATATTATTTATTATATGATTATATTATATAGTTATATATTTAATATATAACATTTATAATATAATATTAATATATGCACATACTTATTCATCTCACTACCCTCTCTCTCTCCCCCCTCTCGCGATCATTTTTACCCGTCTAATTTATTTTCCACGGTGACGCGTGCGAATTCGTTCACGCGAACTTCACGAAGGAAAACGGGACCTCCAAAACTTTCGGCGGTATTCGATGGTGTTTAACCTTATTTCTCGCGTGTTACTCGCGCACGCACGCACGCACGCACGCACGCACGCACGCACACATATACACGGGTATGTAAAAGTGACGGGAAGATTTCTCATCGTGATTGTCATGTCTAACGGAGAAACGCGTACGATGAATACCGTCGCACTAGGAAATAGATAAGAAATGCGAGACGAGATCGGTCGGAGATGTGCGCTCGAAGATTCTCGAGAAAACTTACACCTCTCTCCCTTTCCCTCTTCTCTATTTTGTTTTTTTAACGTTACATCCCTTCTTTCGTTTCTTCTCATTCTTTAATGTCTTAGGCTTGTATTTATTAGTTTGTTATTTGTTTCTAGCTTAGATTTCTAGAGTTAGGTGTTTTTTCAGTTGAACGTATATTATACGCGATTCCCAAACGAAAAGCTCTCGGGTCTTGTCCTAAATTCTGGCCGATGTGCGAAAAGGAGGTCGCTTAAACATTCTAAATCATCGTGCAAAAGAAAAAGTCGCTTAAACATTCGTCGTTAATCACACGTTCCCAATTTCAGTGACAATCGAGATACTCGGGCGCGATCGCGAAACGAGAGTCGCATCGAATGGTTATTACTGCGTCGAGAACGGTAATTTCGCTCGCGGATCAATCGATCGTCCGGATTTCTTCGTTCCGCGCGGCGAACGGTCCGCGACGGAACAAAGTCTCGATTCGAAAATCTGTTCCGAACGCGACAACCAACTGCTCAGGTCTTCGGCTCGTGCACCTATGTCGACGAGATCATCTCCGTGTGGCTCTCGTAAAATATATGCGTGATGTTTTGCGTGTCCGCGTATATATTTACATTGAGACATAGTCTCGAGGCGTTCCTTAGATAAGTACTTTCGACGTGAAGAAAATAAAAAAAAACATAAAATACGAAGTAAAAGAAATGGAAAGAGCGTAAAGGAGGGAATTGCGTAATCAACTTAAACTTAAAATAATTCCTCCGAATTGGCGAGTACAACGCGCGAAAAGCAACAATATATCTCTCGACATCTCAATCATTGAACTCGATGAAAGGAGACGGAGAATGACAGAAGAGGTACCGCCAAGTATTTCATCCAGAGACTTTTTCTTTCGCACAATGATTTAGAATGTTGAAGGGACCTCCTTTTCGCACAGCGATCCAGAGTATTTAACCAAAGCTGGAGAACGTCAGCTACATTCCGTAGTATAATCAGACTGACTCGACGTAGTTTCCGAGAGCTATCAACTCTCCCGACTGTCGATCCGACCAAATAGGTTTACAAATCGATACGATCAGACTGCCGATAATCTATATGACGATCGCGAAGGCAAGACGCGTTTCGTTATGCCGCAGCTGTGAAAATCCAATTTCTCTAGCCGTACAATCGATTTACCGGACTCTCTCAGATTCTCCACGCTTCTCGGCGCGCCAGCATTCTCGCTGGCGATCGTGCGTGCCAATTACGAACGAGAAAGTTCCATCAATACGCATTCGTCCCGATGTAATCCTGCGATCTGACGGCAGCCGTTTAGGAATGACGTCCGAATGATAAAGTGGAGCACGATCGTGGATTAACTTGTATTCCATGTGTGGACGATACACTTTCATAATGTTAGAAAGTGTGGTCTTTACGCGATGACGATCCCCGGCGACGAACGTACGTGGGCCGCTTCGTTTATCGACCAATCGGTCCAAGAGTGTCAGTCGTGAACGGATATCGTATCCCGTTGGCTAATGATTTCCATCCTCGTGGAGCGATATAATAGCGAATCATCCCCCAGAGAAATTCACTGGAAATCATTTCGAAGGTATGCACCTCTCCTGTGCGTGCGAGTAACGCAAAGTTAAACACCATCGAGCACCGGCGAAATTTTCGGAGGTTCCTTTTCCTTCGCGAAGCTCGCGCGCGGCCAAATTCGTCATCGTGGAAAATAAATTAAACGGATTAAAGAGTAGAAGAGAGTTTATTGAAGTCCTGGAGAACAAATTTCAAGCATAAAATAATACAAATTGATAAGTAAGAGGAGATCACGGCAAGGGAGAGGGTAGCGAGATGAGGTTCGAACAGTGAGGGGAGCGATGAGGAGGAAGGTGAGAACGGTGAATCGCGTCGTGTCTTGACGGAGAGCAAAAGAAAAAAAGGAAAAGGGGGGAGGGAAATTTCTTAAGCTAATCTCCAAGACCGGCCGGAGTTACTGCTTCTCCTTGAGACCACCCAGCAGCGCGTGACTCTCCATCGTGGCACTGAGATTGCTAAGATTACTCAGATTCCCCAGATTACCCAGGTTGCCCAGATTGCCGAGATTCGGCTGATGGGCGTAATTCCTGATCTGGTGGAGGCTGATCAGCTGGTTCGGGAAGGACGTGGCGTTCTGGTTGCCAGTGGTACCGGGCGTGACGCCGGACGACGAGGAGGTCGGCGAGGACTTCTGCGTCGTGTTGAACGCCTCGTAGAGATACGGCCGTGACGCGGGATGGTGTCCGCCGGGATAGTGCAGGTGGTTGAGGGGATTGAGAGGGTGTTGCATGGAGGAGATGGAATTGATCGAGATGGAGGAGATCGGCGTGAAGGCCGAGCTGCTGTTGGGGTGGTGGTTCGCGCCGGGCTGCGGCGTCTGTTGCCTCGAGTCGTTCTCGATCGACTCGCCCCGATGGCCCGGCCCGTGCCCCGGCAGGAGCATCTCCGGATTCTGGTTCTGATGGTACTCCGTGTGGTGATGCGGCAGCCTCTCGTGCAGCTCGCCGATTACCGAGTCCGGGCTGACCTTCGGCCAGTAGTGGTCCTGATGGTGGGCGGTCATGGCGTGTATCGACGGCCTGAGGCCGGTGCCGATGATCGGCGGTCTCTTGTCGGTACGCTCCGCGTGCTTCTGCATGTGCTTCGCCAGATAGGTCTCCTGCGTGTAACTCTTGCCGCAGTACTGGCAGATGTGCGTCTTGAGGTGCTTCGACTCCTTGTGCTTCGGTATGTGCTCGAGCAGACTCGGCTCGTCGGAGAAGCACTTGTAGCAGGAGTTACACTTGTACGGCTTGTCGGTTTGGTGGCACCGGGAATGGCTCTGCAGGTTGCTCAATTGGCTGAACGCCTTCGTGCAGCCCGGATGCCGGCACTTGTACGGCTTGTCGCCGGTGTGTGTGCGGATGTGCTGCTGTAGGTGGCTCAGCTGGGTGAACTTCCGCTGGCAGATCTCACAGCGGTACGGCTTAATGCCCAGGTGGATCCTCGTGTGCTGAGACAGGTACGAGGAGTTGGCGAACGCCTTCGAGCACTGCGTGCACTTGTACGGCTTCGCCTCGCGCATGTGGATTTGTGTGTGTAGCTGCAGGTCCGCCTTGCTACCGAATATCTGCAAAAAGAAGAAGAAACACTTTGCTGTCAAAGAGAGAGAAAGATCGAACGGGGGGGGGAGGTGGTGAACTAAAGACGATGACAAGAGCCGCGTTTTGATATTTCGTCGAGCCGTGTTTCCTATTCGAAATGTAAATTACGGTGACCTCCGCGACGGGAACGGCGTGTCTCTTGTGTTTTACGACAATGTCCGGACGAAAGGGATCCGGTTCACTGTGATCTCCATTGCCGTCCGTTTCTCTCTCGTTTCCAGCGGTTGACCGGACAGCCGCGTTTCAAGCACAGGCGCGCTATATTTATAAATAAATAAATAAACGTAAAAGGGAGCACCGCGCCGGTAGCCTGAGCATATGTACGAGGCGGGGAGAGGCTGACCTTGTCTATCATGGCCTAGCCTCGGGGCATACCCGACCGACTGGCTTCGGGTACCGCATACAGATCCCCCCTCCGCGTACTCTCGCACGCTCGCTCTTTCCTTCCTTCACCTCTTCATTTTGTCTCTTCCTTCACTCCCCCCTCCCTCCTTCCCCTAGAGTTCCTCGCACGCTAGTTTCTCTCTCTCTCTCTCTCTCTCTCTCTCTCTCTCTGCCTCTTAACTCAGACTTTTTATATTTCTTTTCACGGCATGGAATAGGCAGCGCGGAGAGCACAGTCGTCACGATGAGATCGGCGATTATTAGCGTCTGTCCTTCCCGATATCCTCGCGGTTAACTCGCGCGAGACGCGGCCGCTCTCTTATCGTCGACGTATCGCGCGCGTGTGCGCGTCTGCGAGTAGCGAATATTTTAATACATTAATCGCAATCTCGCGGAAATATCATGCGCGCGCACTTGTCTGTCCGTGCTTGTAATTCCCGACGTTAACTAAGGGCACGTGAAAAAACATAAGATTTAAGCAGTGAGGAAATTGACCAAACAATCGGTATATTTCTTTAAGTTTACGTATTCCAAAAGACGTATTCCAAAAGACGGTAAATTTTATCTTAAACAAAAATAACTAAAATTTCAGGTTGAAATCTCAGCTACTTCTGCTTAAAGCCAAATTTACCGTCTTTTGGAATACATAAACTTAAAGAAATATACCGATTGGTCGATCAATTTCCTTACCGTTTAAGTCTTACTGCTTACATTTTTCTATGTGCTGCCACCCGCTTAACTTCTTGATCGAGTTTCTGTTTGGAATCCACCATCGCCCGACGATCTCTCTCGCAAGGCCGTGAATTAAAATGGCCTTTTTTTTCTCGGCTCGTTTCGGCGCCTTTATTTACGAGCGCGATCGATCGTCGGAAGGAGACGGACTCTACGGTGCAAAGTCGTCCTCAGCTCCCTACTAACGTCTACGGGGATAATCGGCGCCGCCTATCCCGCTATTTTCGACCGGTGTTGTGTGTAGTTCCTGCTTTCTTTCGAAATTCCCGCCGGCCTCCCCTCTTCCTCGGTGGGTCGCGTTAATGCCGCTAAAACGTCTCATTCATCCGTAATAACGCGCGCATCATTACCGAATAATAACGCCAGTCACGAGATTCGTGATGCTCCGCGTGGTAACGATCGGTGCGGGTATTTGGCTTCGTGGAAAGGGTAGCGAATTGTCTTCCGACGCCGGTGGACGAAGGGTATCGCACCGGAATGACGTGTCGGCCCGAGTCGAAGAAACGATCCTGAACACGCGAAGAGCGACGTGAACGGAGCCAGTTTCCCGGCATCGCTCCGTTCTCGACCGAGGTTATTACGTAAAACGACGGGTTCCTTTCCGAGATGGTTGTACGCCACGCCCGAGGATCTAGGGCGATTCGGGTCCTTCGCACGGCAAGGGTACGAAGGATGACTCTCGTTACCGCGTCCGACGGCAGAGAACTCGTTATCTCTCTCCGGGCTCCGCTTCGTACTTCACGACTCGACCGAGCAAAAGTGCGCTTCGAAGCGATACGCGCGCGCGACTCGCGATTAGATGCTTTATTAAGCAGATTGCGGGATTGCGCTCATTTCGTTCGTATCGTTTCCATCATGTATTCCTGAACGGATTCTTTTCGTGCGCGCGTGTAGCTTTCCGAGTTTTTAATTCGTATCGATAATTGTCACTTGTCTCTCGCGAGATGTCTAGATTTTTATTCAGTGTTAGATCAGAGTTTTTCCGTTGTAATCCGTATAATATGTCAACGTTTAGTTAGCGGAACAAAAAAAGTGAAATAGTGACTGCTTGTGACAAGCAGTGGTGATTTAAATGACTGATTGGCAGTACTGATATACCTAACAGTACATCTGTACACGCTGTTCAACTGAAAAATTCACATCTAGCTCTGAATTAAAATCCGAGTATCTCACATGAGACAAGTTTCACATAACAATTATTAATAAGAGCCTAAGAGTTCTTGACCCTGTTAATTATGCCATTGCTATTTAACGTCATTGTAACACACACCGCGGCTTTTTACATTCGTAATTTGAAACTGGTTTAGATATCTACGATGTTATCCACGTGATAAAGACGTTCTATCGCTCCCGAGAGTATCCGGGATTCGTCACGTTTTCAATATTACATTTTATCTCTCCGTGGTGCGCGTATGTGTTATTTAACGGAGGCAGAAGGAGTCGATAATCTAGGCACATCAACGGCCAGCCGGGTAACGATCGCTTTACGGTTGTCGCGGATCGTGATTTATTCGGTAATCGATCGACGGTCTCGCTCGAGGCATCAACGGCTGACTTGGCGCGTCCTTTAACGGGTTGGAGCTGCTGCTATTTTTTTTTTTATTTCCTCCTTTCGAAACGCGTCCTTGCCGGTGTCAAGTTCGCGCATAGTCCACGTAACACGATAGTCTGCTGCTGTGCGTCGTTTTTTTTTTCGTTTCTTTAACACGCCAGGCAAATGAGAGAATCCGAGAGACACGAGAACAATTAGAGAAGACGAGGGCAGACGAACAGAAGAAGGAAGTATTTACGTTATCGAGGTATAAGTTATCGGGGATCGCGTAATGACGCATTTTCCGCCACGATCTCGTTAGCTCACGTCGCTGTCCTCCCCCCTCTCCCCCTTATCTCGTTCTTTTTTCTTGCATTTTGCAAAAGAGCGCGAGTTACGGCAATTTTGCAATTCCACTTGCAAGAGAACGCCGCGAGACGTTAATTCCTCGATACTGAGTTTCGCAGAAAGGTCGACAAACTTAAAAATATTTCTCGCTCCGGGCGTTCAGTGTCTTCGCCGGGAACTATTACGCTTGGTGGAATGAGCGATTAGCTCGCAGGCAAAGGCTTCCTGTCGGCGGTTAACGCTGCCAACGCGTCGTTTCGTCGAATTGCCCGAGCTGTTATCAATGAATCAGCATATCGATTCGGCTAATTGATAGGAGATTTCAGAACGGACGATCCTCCGATTCGACATCGCGAATCGCGATATTTGCTCGCGATAAAGGTGATCTCTCTCTCTCTCTCTCTCTCTTCCTATGTCTCTTTATCTCGTGACTAACTGCGAATAGAAAAACGGTAAATGAGATCGTGACGTGTAGAAAAGTGACGCTGTGAATTCGGATAGTCTGAAAATTAAATTTCACCGGCTCTTCTTTATTTCGTTTATTTAATTGCAAAATGCCTGAAAGAATCGAGCACGCGCTGATTGGCAGATTGAATGTATAGATCCCTCTCCGTCGCGCGAGAACTTGGAAAAGATCTCTCGTCTCGTTCACAATGGACTTGATTCAATTAAAGAATTTCTCGACGCGAATCGCGACGGCGCCAAATAAAAATTGGCGGTCGTAATTGACAGGATGCACTTAAACCGACTACCGCGGAGACGTAGCGGCGGCGACTTATTCGAGCGGATTTGAAGGAAATTCCGCCGAAAGAAATTCCGAGTTATGTGTTTAACCGTCCGTAATGCGAGCACGCCGGCAAAACGACGCTATGCGACGCGACGGCTCGAAGTAGTCCCGCTGAATTAAACCGGACAGCCGGAATCTCACGCCTTTCTCTCTTTCTCTCTCTCTCTCTCTCTCTCTCTCTCTCTCTCTCTCTCTCGCGAGATGCGCCTTCAAGAAAAATAATGGCGATAAATCCAGAAATTACGTCGGCCTGGACTGCGCGCAGGTATGCGAAATTAGCGCCTCTAATTACGAAACCGGCGAGGAACTATGCCCGCTGGGCAACCGGCTAGTCCTCCTGTCATTTCTGATTAATCGACGTCGATTTACTTAGGCAATACTTAAGAAGCCGAGACGAAGTACATTTGCCGTGACGCAGCCACGGTGTATAAATCGTACGCTCGTCCGGGATCATCATCAGGGGGGAATTTAGAAGCGCGGGTAGGCTGCACCGTGTTAAATTCTCAAATAGGAATTAACATTTTCAACGTTGTTGTTGATCTTAATGACCGTCTCTCGACGCGGTGTGTGTGCCTGGCGCGTTACCGTGTAAAATCCGTTTCCTCCGCGCGCGCGCGCGCGAACCTTTTGACGGAGCAGTGATTAATTGCCGCATGCCCTCCGTTTCATATCAATGGCGATCAATTGATATACATATATATATATTTATTCTGTGTCTCTCTCCCCGTAAGCTCGAGTCGACGTGATCGCGTGAGGACATTTCGTCATTCGATACCGTTTATAGAGCTGTGCTTCGTGATGGATGACCGTCTTTCGCGTTCTAGAGCCCGGCACGTATGTACATTTCGCCGCTCGGGCTCCGTCGTCCGGTTCTTTTACCTTCGCGAGAAGTAGTCTACGAAGTAGCCCCGGGCCAAATCTCGTAAATTCAATTTAAATATTTCGGCCTTAATGACCGCGCGCAAGAGAGTCGGACGCGAAGAGGAAGAAGAGACGCGGCCAGTCAAGGTCGGTGTCTACGTCCGACGATAAAAGTACATTTTAATTAAGTAATTGGCAATCTCTCCTTTACTCGCTGCAAATATGCTCTCCTCTGCGTGGTTTTCCTTTTTCCTCTCGTTCTTAATAACTTTACTTGGTAAAGTATCCGCGATCGGAGTAACGAGATGCCAATTTCAGAAGAA